TGTGAACGAATAAGAAAGCATCGCTCTCTCTCTCTCTCTCTCTCTCTCTCTCTTTCTCTCTCTCCAACCTCACATGGTCACCGCCCCGGTTTCATGGTCAGGAAATGATGAGTTGTGCATTTTTGCCGCCCGCCCATTCACCTTTTTTCCCTCGTCTCCTCTCCTCCCCGGTTCACTCGCATTGGCGGGGAAATGGCGGCATCCGGGTGTCACGAATACAGTACGAGCGCCGTACAGTATCATGCTCGAGCAGCGTACTGTACTGGCAGACAGTCAGTTTTACTCTGCAGACCCACCCACCCACCGCATCATGTCTGCGCTGCCGGGTTCGAGATGTAATAAATGCCCGGTTCGCGCCCGCCACTTATTTAGCACCCGTATTCGGTGTCGCGTATGATGGACTAATTACGGGTGCAGTATGCTGTGTATGTAATGTATGCATGTATGTATGTGGGTCGGGGCTAGCCGAGGAGATCGTGCATGCGAGGAGGAATGGCTGATAGAGGAAAAAAATTAAAATAAAATAAAAAGAGAAAAGAGATAGAGATTGCGGGGAAAATGTACTGTACTGTACTGTACTGTACTCGAGTACCCTTCCGTAAATTTATGATGAATGGGGCGGTGGTGGTGGCTTTATTTGCCGTGGATGGATGGCGGGGTGCGTTGTTCTGTCCTCGTGATGGCTCGTGATGGGAGGGAGGGGATCGGTGGTAATTGTGCTATGGCCTTTGCGCTGTACTGTACTCGTACAAAGTACGAGCACTGTACCCGAGTAAGTATTTTATATAATATGGTGGCTTAAAGTCCAGACGTTGCCTGCGGTTTTCTTCTGTCATGGCTCAGCGGCGGAGCGCCCGAGTAACCATCATCGTCATCATCATACGGCACTCGTACATGTAACATGTGGTTTTTACTGGTACAGTATATCATATCGTAGCGTATAGTCTCTCTCCCTTCTTCTCCGCCGCCGGTACCATCGGTATATCATACCAATACTCGGGATGGCGAAGGGGGGTTATCATTATTCATTGCGTGACAACTTACACGAAGGAGCTGGAAGGACCCACGATGCTATTCAGCAACGGATTCTACAGTCTGTCACCGTATATTTCACATTTACGGTGAACTACCGCCACTTTCTACCCCGCATCCACCATCACCTACCCCACCCCACCCCACCCCACCCCACTCCACCACACTTTTATCCCCTTCCTCCCTCCCTTCCTTCCTTCCTTCCTTCCTTCATCAACCTCCCGCCGATCTCAAAGGCACAACCCTCGTGCCTGCCCGCCCACCTTTCGTCAAGGCCCATGACCGGAAAAATCTGCGGCATCCATCCATCCATCCAACCAGCCAACCAGCCGGGCGGCTAAAAAAAAAATCAAAAAAAATCGCACAAATCTATTAAATCATACCAAGGCTTGCGGTACTGCACGTGATATCATATACCTCTTCACATCGTGTCATATGAGGAGTTTTTTTTTTTTTTGTATTTGTGTGTGTGTGATGATGGGGCGAACATAACGTGACTTATCATACAGGGCAGGTTAGATTATGCGCTGCGTTTCTGCACTTGTACTGTACTTGCACGATTACAGTAGTCTACACCATGAGAAAGAATGGGAGAACCGTTGACTTGGCGGTTGGGAATGATGATGATGATAATTGCTATTATATATATGATGGAAAGGGTTGGACGGCGCCGGTCCGCCTTGTTGCCATACGCCTCCCAGTTTGTATATCGTGCCGTCGAAAAGGTGGGGGGAGTGGCGATAATTGCGGAAACAAGTAGAGAACGGATTTGCTGTGTTGTATTTGTTTATATCATACCCTGCGCTCTTTAAGAATGACCTCGTCGGTCGCGGATTACTGGTGGGCTGTGCGGTTGGAAAGGGTTGTGTTGGGTGTTGGACCATATTTTCCATAACATGATACTTACCTGTCAATTACCGGAAGAGGTATCATACTGTACAGTACTGTACAAAGGCCCGAAATGCGAACGGCTACTAGTAGTCTACTTTACGATATGGGAGAAAAGAGAAAAAAAAAGGTTCATGGGAAATCCTCGACCGCGGTGCTGTATGATACGTACAGTACTCGTACAATACGGTACTCTACCCTGCCACTCTACATTTCGCTCGGTGATCTGCGGGCAAATTATCTACTCTCACGTAGCCTCACTAAGCCAAGTTAGATACTGGTGTAATAGGGTACGAGTAGTCTAGGTATCGTACTGCTATGTAGCTAATAGCTTTAGCTGGGGAGTAGACGCTGAATGCGACGCAGAGAAAGCGAAAGATGGGAGAAAATAACACATCATATTATTTCAACCTTGATGCCTTTCCCCAGTCACACCCTCACTTACCTCACTTCGCAACGGTTTCGAGTGATCAATCTACCATAGTTGACTAGGTACGAATAGAATACCGTAGGAATATCACATTCGATATCATCCTTGTAAATAAAATTAAAAATAAAATTAAAAAACCCCGGTTAAGATTCTATCAGCTGCTGATTATTTTTTTCCCGGGGATTTGGTGCTTTACTCTCGATTCCACCGATACGGTAAAGTTTGTTTCGGGTGCTAAGTTAACTTACGTCGTGTGGGAGGCTTATGTCAGGAGACTGGATAGTACAGGGAGATGGAGTAATTTTTGAGTCCTGGTGCGGAGAGGATGTCATGCTTGTTTAGGTGTTTGGTGGCTCGATACTTCTTCTGACTCGGATGTTTGTTTGTTGCCTGCGTGCCCCTAGTATGTATAATAAGTTAGACCTGACATGGCTGCTGACATGGCGTAGGACTCGGGACAATTTTACGCGGAGGATCTCGCTTTGGTTGTGACCGATTGGTGCTCGGAAGTGGTGATTGTGTGATCTAAGCTTGATGCTTCGTTCAAGTACTGCTAGGCTTAAGTGCTGTTTATATACCTATACCTCTCCTACTACTACATTCTTTATATATCACTATAAAAAATGGATCTCTTTTTGTAAACGATAAATGGTCTTGATGAGCTTGATAGGCGTAACCTTTCAGACATTGTTTCCTTCTTCAATTCTCTGACAGCGTGGTAAGATGTCAATTACCAGAAAAGTATGATACTGGTATGGTGGTAAAGTCACATCAGGTACTATATCATATCAGCAGCCATGTTAGAAACTTGGATACACAGATCGAGTACATTCTAGTCTGGCAATACCTTAAAGCCAGCATTGCACAGAGGGGAAATTTAGACATCCTCTGAGGTGTTGCTCTCACTGGAGTTGATACAGGTACTAGATTTGTAGATGTCGATTACCACCTTGCAGTATTATACTCGAATCCACACCACGGGCGTACCTATCATAGGTTCCCGACACAGCTGCCGACACGACGTAGCGCCCGAGGCGAACTTTGCTCGAGTACTCTGTGAGTGTGGTAAGTTACTTTTACGGTTACCACAAGTAAACCTCGCGTGTTGCGGTGCCACGCTTGATTTTGCAAGGGAAGGAAGCAAAAAATGAATAACACAGGAATCATTACACCTTACTCATTTTTTTTTATTAGGGATAGAAGTGATGGCATTCTCATTGAGAAATATGATACGGTAGTTCATAATTGCCCTCCTTGGGAATATGGAGTGAGTGGGCGGGATCATTGATCGACCGACTAATTACGAGTATGATACCGTACCGTAAATGGGAAAGGGGGGGGGGGTGCCATGAATTAAGAAGCTGTCAAGGCGAAGGGATTCTTATATCATACACTCGTATATGGAGAAACGGGGCACGGAATGGCATGGGGATATAATACATACCTGACTGGATCTGGGTAATGCGTGTAGTGGGGCTTACTTATTGCGCCTACACGCATTGCCCAGTATCGGGAACCCCCCTTATTCCCTCCAAATTTTTTGCTCCGATTTCAAAGGGGTGTTTTTGAAGTTGCCATACTTTTACTGTACGATACTTTGTTTAATACGGATGCGTGCATGGTGGGGTGTTATCATGACACCTCACTCGCGCCGGTGTGGGGTGGGGGATTTTTTTTTTTCCTTCCTTGCTTGCTTCCCACCCTGGCATACTTACGGTGGCTTGCTACGAGTTGGATTTGGGCATGTTGTCCGGCGGGCTCGTTGATAAGCTAAGTTATGCCAACCACCAAAAACGTAACTATAGGAGCTCGGCGGTGCTGCGCCATACCCCGTGCGATGGGTGGTAGACTAGAGCAAAGTACGGTAGACTTCGGAACCGCGGTGGCAAACGGAGCTGATGTGATGCGATGCGATGCGATGAGGCGAGATTGATGTTTATCGATCGGGAGACACGCTTGGTTGAGATCGGGATGGATGATAGATGAAGGAATGATGGTTTGGTCGCGATTGCGATTCCGAATCTGCGCTGCGGCCGCTGTGTGATGCCATTCGACAAGTGTTTTGTTGATTTTGTATGATAAGAGTACGAGTACCGTACAGGTATAATAAACAGTGGGGGTCGCATATCTTTTTTTCTTTTCTTTTCTTCCTGGGGTGGCTTGGGTTCAGCTGTGGCTTCGCGGTTCGCCGCACGGGGGATGTCACTCGAGCACTAGTAGTGGTGCGGCACAGACGCTCAGCGGGTGGAGAATTGGATTTGGGTGTAATATAATAACTTGAGGTGGGAAAGTGGGGGGAAAGGGGTTATATTCCCCTCAGGGTGGCGACCGTGGAGTACGATATGATACTATGAATGGTTATAGCACTGTGTGTGCGGTTTTGCCGGTGTCGCATGGTGCCGTAGGAGTACTGCAGCGGAATCAGCTATGATATATATGTATCCAAATATATATGCTGCGGCACCTATACGTACGAATACCGTAGTACAAGTATGATACGCACAGTATTTATGCAGATCCATCTCGGGACATACGAATCGTGGGATAATCTAAGACACGATACTTTACCCTATCAGTGCGATATAATGCACAACATTCGTAACCACACATCATGACCGGCCTACTGGAAGTAGGTCTCTTTTGAAAAATCCTTACCGTACGCAATGTCTACCGGTAACTACTTATCATAACTCACTCGAGTACAGCCAGCCAACATCAGCATCATACGAACCAATGACCACCACAAGACAAGCACCCCCGGGGACCCACCGCGCAGTACCGGCGCCGCAACAGCAGAATCCCGAACGATACGTACAGTGCCCTACCCGCATTCTTCTTCTTCCTCCCTCTAATCACGAGTAACTCACTGCCCCACCGTACCGTAATCGACCCAACACCGCATCGCGAACCTCGATCCGCCAAACAAATCTGGTCTCCAACCTGATTGAAATCCCCACCTGGACGTGCACCTGCACCTGCACCCCACCATACCGCACCACAGGCTCGCGAGACACGGACCGGTACCGCACGGTAACCTAAAAAGTGCGGCCGAGCTGCACGTCATTTAGAGTTTCAACCTATCACACTCGTATAGATATTTTTTGAAACAAAACTTGAACTGGTTACCTCATGCAAAGGTACAGTACCATTACCGGCATGCATGCAAAGTATGATAATTATGACACTGACAAAGGAAATGATCAACAAAAGTCTCCGAGGCATATATATATATATATATATAAAAGGCCCCCGAGATTGTCATACTTGTAGTAACCCAAACTCTTGGACATTTTTTTCATACCGGTATCATAATATTTGATATCCCCTTCTTGCGAATGGTAATTCCGGGGTTAACCTTTCCGGTATAATACTGATTTACGTGTTGTGCCCGAGAAGGGGACTATGTGTTGGTTGCTGGTGTGATAGTGTCAGTTAAGATATCATACAAAGCATGCAGGTGTGTATGATGTGGCGGACGGCCAACGATAGGCCTTCGCGTGGTACCGGAGTCGCTTTCCGGCTCAAGATTATCGTGATGGGTTTCGTGGGGACGCGACCTGAGATATATGTGGTGGGCAGCACATGAAAGGGCGGAGGGGGAGGAGGAATGTGTGGAAGAGAAAGAAAGAAGCCCTTACCGCTTGAGAAGGTACATTGGTAATAACGTTGGATTTAATGCTTATCCGTCAAAAAGACTAGTTTTCCTTTTTTATCATAGTTAATTAGTTTCTCCTAGTACTTTCCTCACCCCACTCTCTTCAACATTAGTTACTGTTTGAGTTTTTCCCTCATCTCCTCTCCGTTTGTTTCACAACAGCACAACCATGCTAAATTACCATTCAACTATGGTATTCCGAGGTTCTCATATGTCTTTCTTCCTCACCGAGGTTTTTTTTCAGATTCTTTTCCTCCGGGGTCCTCACATTACCGACCTCGGGTCTTTTTGATGTTTCTTTTCCTTCACTTGATAGTTCACTTAGCATAAAAACCCCCCACAGTCTGCGCAGGTGGTAAGAGAATCAAGCTTCTTTTTCTCGTTAGCGGTCATATCAATTCACGAATAAGCCGAGTGATATCCGATGACTACTCTGTGCAACGGAGTATCATTCGTAGGGTTTCTATTAGGAGTGGGACTTATTATGTGGGTTTATGCTTCTACACACTGATACGTAACTGGCGTCTTCCAGCTATGATACGTACAGTACCGTATCATACCAGCTGTCGCGGGAATGTGTGGGATACATGTTATGATCTACGCATGATACGCATTCCCGAGATACATTTCTAATTTGCTCTCCTTGCCTGTCTACGGATTTACAGTAGCGTGCAGTTTCTCCTCTCCATTCTCGATATTTTCTCTTCCTCTTTCCTGTGTCCTCTGCTCTTTAAGCTCGATCAGCAGGCCACATTCCGGACTCGTTTGTTCATTCCTCCTCACCCCCTCCAATGCTTCGTCACGGTCTAACTTAAGAGTACCGTTACGCACATGACCGCCCCCGCGGTTTCGCACCCTCCGCCGCCTATCAACAGCAGTGCTACTAGAACCTATTGAATAGCGAGCCCCTTTCGGGCGCGCTTTAGGACCTTGTACCATAAACCTTTCCGCAATTCTTTCGTATATACCGGCAATGCCGAATAGGGGGGTATTATATTACTCGAGTATCATAGGAGTATCATAGGAAGGGGGAGGGGAAGGGAAGGGAATGGAGGACTAGCCAAGAATTCCGGAAGAGCCCCCCCGCCACCACCAAATCGCATGAGGGGGTATATGGGGACTTTGCGGCAGCACATATAACCTATTCACCAAGTTATCTTAAAAACACATTTTTTCCAAGATGGGACAAAATCCAGTGCGCAATCTCACATTGATCACCCAATATTATACTTCTGCCAGCCGGTCGTTTTTTTTCTTTTTCTTTCTATCGATTCATGCGTGCTGGTGGAGCAGACAAGCAAGCGGGTTCGGGAGGCTGAGCAAAGCTATCGTCGATTTCACACTCCCCACACACCAACCAATCCGGAGGAGGAGGCGTGGAGGGCTTTATTTAGACCAACCTTTCTCAAAAATGATTTTTTTTCTTTTTTTTTCAAAATTAATATCATGGAAGGAAAGTACAAGTATGCGCTATGACCATCAACGGAAATGGACAGAGGTGAAGAGAGAAATGCAGAGAATGGAAACTACTCGTAGCTGCGATATGATAATTACTTTTTAACGCCAAGAATTTCCCAATTACCCAAGTATCATTGTCTCGTAAGCCTTCACTTCGTATATGCGCAGTACAGTACTAGTACAGCACAGCGGCTCGATACTAAGGGGAAGAATATTTTCCCTTCTGCAATCCTATGATGGGATACCGTATTATTATCCGACCGCATAACCCCCCCTTAGCAAATCCTGGAACACTCCATTCAAATCATCTGAGTAGACGGCACAGCCCCTCCCTCCCTGAAAACACTTCAATGCTATCGCAGATCCAAGGAAAGTGAGTCGGCTTTGTGTTTGCGATAAGGGGTGTACAGTACTTAGCTCTTGACTGCCTTTTATTTATTCGTCTGCCCTATTCGTGAGGATGAAAACTTGTATCCGTGTATGCCATGGAAGGGTCGATTCGATTCCTAGCCTGTATGTAATACCCACATCGCATTCCTAAACTATTGGTTTACGTGACCCCCCCCCGTAGTGGTAGTTCTGGGTGCATTAAGGGGCGAGTGAGCTCAGGTGAAGTAGGCACCGCATAGTCCCCCTTCCTCCCTGCTGTTATATTGGCATTCCTGGAGCTGGCGGTGGAGACGAGTAAATGATGCGCTGATTCCGGAAGGCCAGGGTTGAGTTCTGAGCCATCGATACGGTGGATGGAGAGTTGGTTGGTCGGGGGTTCTGACTGACTGCTGCGGCAGTGCCGAGACCACTGGGGCAAGGTGATCACGATGCGGGGATAGCAAGGGTATGAGTTTATGGTCCGCACTAGCTACAAATAACATGGTATAGAACAGTAGGTAAACAGACAAAATTGACTTCAGCAGGGAGAAAATGCTTGGAAACCCCAAACTCCCGAAACTATGCACATAGAGAAGTAGCAATTCAACGCCCGCACAAAACCCGATTGAAAAGCACTGAAGGCTGCAATGCCCGAGGTGATTACGAGACTGAAAGGACTTGTCTAACCCGAACGATTCTATCCATAGCACTCTCCAGCACACCGAGTCGTTTCTTAGCCTCCTCGTCCCGACTTTCGAGCATTCGCACTCGCTCTTCTAGCTTGCTTTTTTGCTGCCGCTCGTTGGCTACCATCTCGTTCGCGCTTTGAAACAAGCTCGCGCTTAATTCCTCGAGCTCCCCCGTGACCTGCTCCAGGCGTTCCTCAGCTTTGACCCTGGACTTCCGTTCCTTTTCCAGAAGGACCTCTGTGGAATTACTATCGGGCGGCGGACTGGGTGGCCCCCCCCTCCCGCGAGAGGAAGCAGTGAGAAAGGCAGATATTCTGTTTGTCGCCGAGGTGATTCCGGAAGGGGTATTTGACGTCAAGGAGGAGGAGGAGGAGGAGCTGGATGGCGGCGTAGGTCTTAAGGCTTTCAACTCGTCTTCATAGTCGGCTAACTTGTCCACTGTTTTGGTTATGCGTTAGTTTGTCCATGCGGGGGGAGAAATGAAGCAAAAGGCTTACCTGCGTTTGTGGCCTTTTCGCTTAGTATGCGGACTTGGGCTTCTAGCTCTGTGATTCGACGTTTTGCTTCATCGGAGTGTACCTCTGCTCCACAGTTCTGGCATTTGGCCGTGTTCGCGGTGGGGGGAGGTGAAAGTGCTGTCGCGGGAGACATCTCGGTGTTCTTGTTGTGGTTGTAGCACCTTGGGTCGCTCAGCTCATAATTTGGAGGGGTTTGAGCTTCCCCGGAACTTAAAGTAAAGGGGGCTGGGAGGTAAAAAAGGCGTGGGGTGTGACTTTCGTGGAGACTGTGATATTTTGGGAGGGTCGTTCGATCCCGGTACGGTATCTGGCTCAGCCGGGCAGTGTGGAGAAGAGAAGGGGTTTTCGTTTGGGGCTTTGGTGATGGAGGGTTGGAATGCAGGTTTCGAGTTGGCAGTGCCCTAAGGTTATCGACTGGTGGGGCTGGACGACGGTTGGTAGGAGTCGGGCGATTAATGACCCCTGCTGAAACATGTGAGGGCTACCGGTATGGTGTGGATGGGTGGGATGATGGGATGAGGGATGGGTGAGGGGGAGAGAGGAGTGAGAACAAAGCATCAAGGGACGAAGAGCAGCCTTGGTTGCTCAGGAGTCTTGGCAAATTTCCATTAAATTCTTGGTCAACATCTTTCATCTACTGTGCTCGTATGATACGAGTACAAGTACGAGTATGCTGGGGTTGTGATAGGGCATGATAAATATGGCGCTCACGTGCCCAATAAGTGCTTCTCAAACCTGCATCCCATGATAGGTATTTATCCTCGCCTTAGTAAGGCGAGCAGGATCCAGGTCCTTTCTCAACGACCTCGCCGACAATCGTAAATCGGTCCGTCTGCATAGCCACCACAGAATCGGTTATCGATACAGATGACATCGCTTCAGGTTCTAATTATGCACCATATAAAGGCAAAGCCCTGGATGGAATCATTAGAGTACAGGAGAAAAAAAATGCGCCAAGTTGACAACAAAGAATAGATCCCGAATTAGAAAGATGCACTTTGTATCGGTATGCATCAGTTTTATCAGTTTTTTTATGCCATGAATGAATACCGTAAGAGAGCTCATGATGGATTCCACCCGTTGGTACCGTAGCAAAACCTGGGAAACCCCTAATGCTAAGAAATAAGGAAGAATAAGAGATACACAAGAGTGGTGAAGAGATAAAAATGGGATAACATTATAAGAATCATTGAAACTCTCCATAGGCAAAGCTCGTAAAACGCCGCCTTCTACATCCTTGCTGTCCTTCTACTTGGTGGGGATTCTGCTGATCTATTGCTGAGCGCATTGCGGGCGGCTATCATCTTCATCGTCATCTTCATCGTCGACCCAGGCTCCCCCTCCGGATTCGTCCGCGTTGCCAAACTGTTCGGTATTTCGTTAGCAGGCCTGCTCCATGCATATTCATATTCATATTGTTGGAGACTCACGTCCTCGAGATTGCCCTCTGGATCGAATGTCACATCATCCACTTGCTCTACTTGTACTTCCTCATCGGTCCATTCAGGTAAAACCTTTCTGATACCATTGACGTCTGGGATCCAGCCATCCTTTGGAAACTCGATATCAACGATAAGAAAGAGGTCTCCTTTGGCATCTCCCTTCTTATGAGGCATCCCTTCGCCCTCAACCTTGAGAGTTTGGCTTGGCGTAAGAATCTTTCCCTTGGGATGAGTGATCTGAATCCCTCTCCCGTCAAGATGCTTGAGAACAACTCGGGAGAATCCAGTCAAAGCCTCAGCCAAGGAGACACGTAATGGTGCCATGAGGTCAGCCCCAGCGCGTGAGAATACGTCGTGATCTTTCTCTTCCAAGAGGAATATGATGTCACCGGTTTCGTGGTCTGGGGCTTCGTCTGCTTCACCTTGCAGAACAATCTTGTCGCCCTCCTTAGAGCCACGAGGGATATATATCTCCAGAACTTTCTTCTCTTCAACCACGCAATTCCCTTTGCATTTCTTGCAGCGATCCTTTTCTCGAAAGACGTCTCCGCTCCCTTTGCATGACACACAAATTACATTTTCTTGGGTGACAATGCCACGGCCGACTTGTCGAAGATTCTGGTTCCAACCGCGGCCAGAACAAGTCGCGCATTTTTTGGCCTTAGCCTTGTCTTTTCCGCCAGACCTAAAGGCGAACGGTTAATGGGAATTTCTGCCAAGCAACTGAAATGGGACCTACCCTTTACAGAGCGAGCACAGGATATTTCTGGTGCTGGCCAGCTTAACAGTCTTGCCTTTGTACAGCTCCTCCAGGCTCACTTCGTAATGTTGCACCACATCTTTGCCTTTTTGTTTTCTTCCACCAGGTCCTCTAGGTGTTGGGCCCATAGGGAAACCACCACCCATTCCACCCATTCCGCCCATTCCCATTCCGAACACGTGACTTAACATTTCTTCAAGATCAACATCCTCACGCATACCTCCCATACCGCCACCAGCAGCAAAATCTGTCATTCCAAAGCGGTCGTAACGAGCGCGTTTTTCGTCTATAGTAAAGTGAGACTGGGTGATCGGGGGGGAGCTGTGGGGAACAAACCATCGGATAAAATCTCGTAAGCCTGGGAAACATTCTTGAAGCGATTTTCAGCGTCATCCCTTTCGTGTTCTGGAACTTTATCGGGGTGAGACGAGAGAGCGGCCTATGGAAGTAGGAGGGAAAGCCCAGTTAGCCCTGTTGGATTTATGGCCTCGAAGCGGTGTTTGTACCGGTTAGGTCTAAATATGCGAGAAGAGAAGAGGAGTCAGAACTTTATGATAAGCCTTCTTGATTTCGGCTTTTGTAGCGCTTGGTTCTATTCCGAGAATCTCATACAAATCTATGGATTCCGCTTCAGTTGAGCCGTTCACTGGTATTGTTGAGCCATATGTTAGAAAGAGCGTCTCGGACCCAATGCTGGTGGGGCAACATACTTTTAATTTTGGTGGATAACTAGGAGGGAATTAAGGGGGAAAGATTATTCAAAGCGGAGAAGAGAGGGAAAAACGGTTGTTGAGGTTGTGTGCACGCTGGCAGCGTTGGGGGTCGCAGGCAGAAGATAGAAAGCGAGGATTGGTGGATAGGATCTGGTAAATGATTGTGTTGGAAATTTTGGCAGTAAGATGTTGCCGCATGGTTATCGCCGCGAGACATACCGGTAGTTGATGCCTGCTAACGAAATGCACGGACTGAAGGAAACCCTGGGCAATAAAAATTCTTGGCACGGAATCCGTCTTCATTCCACCATTTATTTCCGAGATGATCTGATATGATAATGAAGGCTTGCAGCATTTCAGGATCACAAAAGAGAATTGCTTCTTCACTCCCGCATCTACACATTCATTGATCCCATACGGTCCTACCTTGCTAATGGCCTTCATGTTTTCCAAGACAATACCCATTTCCTCCCGCTTCTTGCGGCTTTGTCGACGATGCAGTTCTACACCGAAGTTTTCACATACCGCAATTCATGGATCCTCTGCCATTGCTCCTGCGCGGACGAGATTTGCTCCGTCCCCTACCGGTTATTTACATCTGGGTAGTTTAAGAACTGCCCTTTTTAATTATTTGCTTGCTAAGGGAACTGGCGGCCAGTTCTTGCTGCGGATTGAAGATACTGACAAGGTTGGTCCATGCACTTTCTCTAGATAGTTTGGTTTGTTTTTTCAGCAACTAAGGCTGAGGAAAGAAAAGAACTATGGAGGGGGCTGAAGAAGGCATTTTTGATACTTTAAGATGGGCTGGATTGCAATGGGATGAAGGTATATGTTATCGTGATTGGTTTGTCGAGGCTATGTCGACTGAGGAGTTATAGGGCCATTGGTCGGGGGGGGGTTCGGTCCCTATCGACAGGTTATCTCCTACTCTCCTGCTATCTTGCTAGGCTTTTGTTGATACATTGTCTCATAGTCAGAGCGTACGGAACTCTATAAAAAGCATGTCGATATTTTACTCGAGGTGATTCTCTCTGGCTTGGCCGAATGACCTTGGCCTGACATGTTCGTAGGAAGGCCATGCCTATCGATGCTACTGCACTCCCCAGCGACTGGAGGCCTTAGCCCTGACCCGGAAGAATAGTGGGCAGTCGACCGACTACGACCGCCATTGCCTCGATTCTCCTCCCATAGCCTCAACCACAGAACCACATGTTATCCGTCTCAAGGCCCCAGTTCAATATCCACCTTACCGCGACCTGGTATACGGAACCATAAATTCAGGTACCCGGAGTAACGACCACTCAATCGGAGCCTTCGAAGATCCTATCCTATTAAAGTCTGACGGTATGCCGACGTATCACCTCGCAAATGTAGTAGACGATCACTTCATGAACATAACGCATGTTGTAAGAGCTACGGAGTGGATGCCATCTACGCCTAAACATGTACATTTGTATAGCTGCTTTGGCTGGGCGCCACCAAAGTTCGTACATGTGGGACTATTACAAGATATACAGGGGAGGAAGTTGAGCAAGAGAACCGGGGATGTATTTGTCTCTGAGTTCCGGGAAAAGGGGTATCTACCAGAGGCCCTTAATAATTTTGTTGCCTTAATGGGCTGGAGTCATGCCGGCGAGAGCGATGTTCTGGATATGCAGAAGCTAGTAGAACAATTCAGCATCGACGGATTAACAACGGGCAATACCAAGGTTGGGTTCGGAAAACTCGACTTTTTACAAAAACAATATGTTAGGATTCGGGTGATGGAGGGTTCCGGTGATACGGAAATCCTAGACGCGGTAGAAACCCAAGTGCGCAAGGAATTCGGAGAAAGGTATTCACTTTATTCGCAAAAGCTCCAAATTTCTCCTCTCATTCGAGCTAATAGTACCTAGCCTAGAAGACGGCACCCCGATAACGAGAGAATACATAAAATCTGTCCTTCAAGCCAACGTCCAGAATTACCTCATCCCCTCGGAATTCACGGAAATGTCCTCATATTTCTTTCAAGTGCCTTCACTCGATGAAAAGCCAGCAATCAAACCGATCAGGCAAATAAAGGCCTTCCTCGACGCCACTCCCGCTCCTGCATCCGCAAGATCCTTTTTAGCAGACACAATTTCCCAGCTAAATCAGGCAGAATGGACGAAGGAAGGGCTTGAATTTGTTGTGGACGGGCCTCGGGGTGACAAAGCTGCCCTCACTGCCTGGAGAGCTAGAATGAGGATCGTGAGATTAGGCCTTTCGGGTGGCGCTGATGGCCCCACGATCGTGGCAACTATGTTGGTTCTGGGGAAGGAGAGGTGTATGGAACGGCTAAGGAGGGCCATTGCAAAGCTGGACGATGGAGTCAAAGGAGTGGGCCTGAAGAAACTGGAAACAGGCAGCGCATAGGAAGTGTATAATTTTTTTTGAATCTTCCGGTCATTGATCACAAAGTATCACTCGTGAAATTTGCGATCCACCTGACAGATTGCCGAGGAGCAAAGTAGGAGGTATTATCTCTTGCACCATGATGGCCCTTAAGGTAGGGTAATTGGTATGGTCGTGTGTGTTAAGTTACTGGTCATTAGCATTGTAGTAGGGACGATTAATGGGCTATTTATTCAATCTTGTGAATTAGTCCCGCCACTACCTTACAACACATTGTGGCCATACCTGACAGCACAATGCACTGCCGGCGATCGCCCCGGGGCCAGCTCCAACAATAATATGATACCCTAATGCTCCCCCGAAGTGGCGACGGGCAGCTTTCCTGCCAGTCACAAGTGCAAAATATCTACACTTCCCTCTCGCACTTGCTTCCACTCCCTTATTTATAGCCCTGCTGCCCCGATAGTTCCAGAATCCTTTCTCCATCGCCACCAGCACCTCTTAGAGCCCGCCCACTCACTCTCCTCTGAGCATTTCCCTTCGAACCCAACCCAAAGTCCGGGCATCAACCCAGCCGCTTGCCCCTAGAACCCGCACCAACGATTCGTGCCACACCGAGGCGAATGCCCTCGTCACGGCATACCATTCGGTCGTGGCACGAATCGTTGATGTAGGCTCTGATGGCGGTTGGTTGGGGTGGAGCGGTTTTGGGTTGAGCTGATGAAGGGGGGTAGGAAGGAATTGATTCTGGGTAAGCTTTTGCTTCTTGTAGGGTTTTGTTTGAATGGTGGAGAGGGTATGTGAAGCAATTACTAACTTCTACGTATGGGGAAATTAGAAGAATCGGGTTTGAAGGCCGAATCTTGGGCAGGCGGAGGGTGGCACTGGGTGCTTGCTGTGGATATGGAGGGCCGGAGCTAAAGTGTGAGTGGGGTGTAACGAGGAGCTGATGGTATAGTACTGGATGATTTTCGGCTGGGTTTCAAGGGATTTACTGCGGGTTTCATAAAATTTGCTTTACTTTTTTGTATGCATGGTATATTCGCTGGGGGTTACCATATGAGAGACGGCTTTAAAAGTGGTGTTTTGGGATTGAAAATCCATGAAGTGTTGACTCTAGATTGTGATACGGAGTGCCACATATTGTACGGTACAGTACATATGATTGGAATGCGTATATATTTTAAACCAAGGATCTGGCGGTTGACATCTAGTCATATACCATATAACTGAAGCTGAAACCCACCGGGAAGGCACATCAAAGCCATACAAATGCGGCGACGTGCATCTTTCCCGCCAATCACAGGCGCAAAACACCCCCTCCACTTCCTACCCCGCACTTGCTTCCTACCATATATATCTCCCTCCCTTCCTCCCTCCCTTCCTCCCTCCCTCCCTCCCGACCGATCCCTCCTCCCGACCGATCCAGCACCCTTTCCCCATAACCGGCAACGCCTCCCAACCCCCCCCCCAACTCCCCTCAGAGAGCTTCCCGAAAGCGAACCCAACCCAAGCACCTGCTGTTAGGCTCGGTACCAACGGTTCGTGCCTCACCGGCACATGGCCTGATAGCGCTGTCCCGCCGTAGGTCGAGTGAGGCACGAACCGTTGGTGCGGAGTCTGATGGCGGCTGGTTGGGGTGGAGTGATTTTGAGTTTGAGTCAATGGGAGGGAATAGGAAGGGGTGGGTTCTTCTGAGTAAGTTTTAGATTCTTGTGGGGTTTTTCCGGAACGACGGAGAGGGAATATGTGACGTAATTGCTGACCTTTGTGGGGGAATTGAAGGGCTCGGCTTCGAGGGCTGGATATGGGGTAGGCGTTGGGTAGGACCGGATTATTGCTATATTATCATGGATAAGGAGGACTGGAGTGGAGGTGCGAGCGGGGTGTAGTGAAATGTTGATGGTGTAATTCTGAATGCATTTTTGCGGGAGTTTGATGTTGGTTTCGTGGATTTTGCTTTTACTTTTTTGTATGAATGGTGTATTGCATCGGGGTTACAATATGAGAGACGTACTCAGGCTTTAAAAGTGGTGTTTAGCATTGGAGAGTTACGGAGTGTGATGACCTGTGCTCGAGTAGATTGTAACTTGGGGGGGGTAGAATATGATGCGATAAGCTGACGCCTTTCTCTCAGCATAAGTGCTGTTTGAAACGCCTTTGGCCTGACTGAGCTCTCGGCGACAACGATAGCGAAATGTGAACGGGAATTATTATGAACAGAGGTATCGGCCAACAGAGGATTCATGTCCCTGCTGAAAACGAACATAGAAGTTGAGTTTGGGGGAGGATCTCGGACGGGAGCTCCCGCTGGGGCATGTTGGTTGGAGAGCGCTGGTAGTGCCACCTACGGTATCATACATAGAACCGGAATCCCTATATCGGTATCTCCAAACCAGAGGTCTGACGGGCGACACCCACACCTACTAGGAGACACATCAATATCATGCAAGCGCTCGTATCCGTGAAGCAATGTGCATCTTCCCCGCCAGTCACAAGTGCAGAACACCTTCACCTCCTACCCCGCACGCGCTTCCGCTCCTATATATATTGTCCTTCTTCCCCGACAGATCTGACATCCTTTCCCCATCACCACCAACACCTCTCGAAGCCCGCTCACTCCCCTCCGAGCACGTCCCTAAAACGGGAACAGCCCAAAATACTTGCACCAACCCGACTCCCTGCTGCTGGGCTCGGCACCACGGTTCTCCCTCACCGAGTGCATAACTTAGACCAATATCACGGCCAAGTTATGCACAAGGTGAGGCGCGCATCGTTTGTGCGGGGTGTAATAGCGGTTGGTTGGGGTGGAGTGGTTTTGGGTTGAGCCGGTGGGGGAGGAGTAGGAAGGAGTAGAGAAGAGTGGATCCGAGGTGAGTTTTTGATCCTTGAAGGGTTTTGCTTGGATGGTGGGGTGTGTGTGAACACGTGAAGCAATTGCTGGCTTTTGTGGGTAGTCAGAAGACTCGGATTCAAAGGGTGGATGTTAGATAGGCGGTGGGGTGGGACTGGATGCTTGCTGTAGATAGTGAGGATTGGAGTGGGGCATAATGAGGAGTTGATGGTATAATTCTGGATGCTTTTTTATTTGGGGGGGGTTCAAGGAGTTTAATGCGGGTTTTATCTTTTATTTTGCTTGCATCTGTATGGATGATAAATTGTATTGGGATTGCGATTTTGGAGACGCTCTCGGGCTTTGGGAATGGTATTTGAGATTGGAGAGTCGTGAAGTGTGATGACTTGTAGATGGCGGCGCGCTGGGGGCGCAACCTACGGCGCGTATAGGGCTTGGAATTCGTATAAGTTACCTTCAAACTAGGGGTCTGATGGGCGGCAGGAAATCGGGCCTAAGGGGATGCCTAGCTAACACTAACCTGCCGGGAGGCATGGCAATATTCTACATAATGTGAAGACCATGTTGGCCGCACAAGCGAGTGGATGCCACAAAGCTCAGCTGGAGGATAGTCTAATCAAGGACCATTCTGAAAAAACCACATTCGCCGGACCTCATTAATTTTTTCCACCCGATCGGTCAGATCCCAAGTCAAAGATTCCCCACAGAGTGACGCTTTGTGTCCACCTTCAAGCACCCATCTTCCCTTCCATGAACTCCTTCAGAAAGCCGGCCGATCTCTTCGGCGTCCGGTCTCCGGTCTCGGGGTCAACAAATGTGACGCCGAACTTGGCCGTGTACCCTTCTTGCCCTAGACACACGCTCTGTTGAGTTGGTGCATTCTTTATCAGCAACACGGGGGTGAGAAAGTGGGAACGTACACTCAAAGTTATCCGCAAATGCCCAAGCAAGGTAGGATTTTATCGGGACCCCCTCGTTAATCAGCTCAGCCATGGCGTTGATATACCCGCGGTAGTAATCGATCCTGAAGTCATCTTCGACGGCCTCTTCCTTCTTCATGTCTTTTTCACCAGGGCAGATGACGCCGTTCTACTTCATCAGACTGGGAGCCGAGATGAAGCTGAGAAGGGCGGAGGGGGGGGGGATACCTCAGTAACATAAATGTCCCTCCCGTACCTCTCCCACAGAAATCTCAACACCTTTTTGAAGCCCCAAGGTACCGGTCGAACCCAGGGTAATCCTGCCTTCGGTCCAATCTCCTTCCCGTCGGGGCCGACGCTCGTCTCGTCGACACCGTGAAAGAACTGCGATCTGAAGTCCGTCGGTCCAGCTGGTGTCGTGCGAACTTTGGCGTAGTACGTTGTGTAGTGGTTCAATCCGAAGAAGTCGCTCGAGCCCTTCAGCAGTGCCTTCTCTTCGGGGGCAAATTCCGGAAGCTTGTCTCCGACAATTTCCTTCAGGAGCTCCGGGTAGTCACCCTTGTGCACCGGGTCAGCGAGCCAGAGCGAGCAGATGGTGAAATATTTTTCCGCCGCGGCGACGTCTATTTCTCATTAGCGCGCGTATTAATTCTAATCGTGCCCTAAGAGGAAATAGTACTCTCGGCCGTTTGATCGTACGGCTCTGCCCAATTCGCATTGACGACCAAGCCGATTCTCCCCCCCTGCTGGGAAAACTCCTCCCTGTAGACCTTCACCGCCGCAGCGTGTGCCATCAGGAGGTTATGCCCAACAATGTACGGCTCAACGAGGCTATCGCCCTCCGCGCTCTTTGTCCGGTCACTGGATCTCCCCGGTGCATGCGCGCCAATGCAGTGGCCGAGAGCAGCGTATACATTTGGCTCGTTTATCGTCAGCCAGACTTTCACCAGGTCGCCCAATTCGTCAAAGACGATGCGGGCGTAGTGTGTGAAGTCTGCCACTATCTCTTTGTTCAGAAAGCCTTTGTAGCGATCTTGGAGGGCCTGTGGGAGGTCCCAGTGGAAGAGAGTCGGCACGGGTTGGATGCCGGCCTCCAGGAGGGATTGGATAAAAGTTCTGTAGAAGGATATCCCGGCCGGGTTGATGGGGTCGCTGCGGCCGCCTGAGGGGATTATTCGGGACCAGGATATTGAAAAGCGGTGGCAATTTGCACCTGGAATTGTTTAGTAGTCGGTGAGGAGGGGTCCGGGGGAGGAATGAAGGGAAATATGTGGTACCGTAGCTCTTCATGAGATCAATGTCCTCTTTCCAGCGTCTGTAACTATCTGTTCCGAAGCTGTTAGATTTTCCATCCTCTGTTCTGTCTCCCTGGAGGGAGAAGGTGTCCCAGATGGACAGCCCACGGCCGTCTGCTTCCGGTGAGCCTTCAACTTGTGCGGACGCTGCCAAAGTTAGCTACTGGATTACATTGCTCCAAATTTGACCTCATACCAGTGGCATATCCCCAAAGAAAGTCTTTCGGAAGGGTATCAGAACTCATTGTGAGAGTTTTCTTTCCTATGCTTTCTAGCGTTGAAACCTTTACGTGGGGGTGATACCTATTGGGAGTTCTAGTGACCCTGGCTCTTTGTGGTGTGTGAGTTGATGCGAAATGTGGTACCGTACTCACCCACTCCTAGCTTCTAGCAATGCACAAGTAAGCTTACTACCGCCAAGTGCGGAGCTCCAGCTTTCGGTTTCGGTTCCTTCTGGTCAGCCGGGCAGCATAGTCACCCATACTGGCCCGCTCGGGGAGCTTTCCGTCATCTCCAAGTATAAAAGGTAAGCCCCCGGGGAAAAAGCGGAGGAGGCGCTGGAGATAGAGGAGCAGTGGCGGGACCCGCTTACGCTGGCACCCCCCCCGAGGATGTTTCTGGCAGAGGATGATCCTGGATGGGGCACTGCACGGGGATTGTAGAAGCATCTTACGGTCTACGGAGCGCAATGGAAAAACCAGGGACCTTTGGTTTCCCACTGGCGATATTTGTAGTATTATAGAACAGTATCGCAGGATCTCAGAGTACCGGTACCGGTATCGAATCGTATGCTGCGCCGTTCCAGCAGCCTCCTCTGGTAAGGTGTGGTGTTTATTTTTGTACTACTCGTATTGTCTTTCGGAGGCTGAACAGTTCGCCCTCGGCTGTGCCTCCCACCCCTTTTCGAGAGGAGGGGATTCCGGACTATGATACCAACTCGAGTAACACATGGTCGGTTTACCGGTACCTGGTAGTTGTTTGGGTTCCTCGACAGTGCTAGGACCCCCGTGCCATACGGACCGTCTGCACCGGTTACACTGTACGAGTACCATACCGTACATGTACTTGTATGCAGTATTATACTAGTGCCGTCGTGCGGCATATGAGTTTAGGTAATTCAATTGACTTGTGTGCGTCAATAGAGGTCGTTTAGTAACCAGACAGGGGCCAAAGCACACCGAAAGTGATGGCTTTCGAGCTATCATTATGCAACCACTATGAGCAGAGACAACATGGAAAAAATTTAAAAAAAGTAATCTGCTACAATGGCACACATAAAAAAGTGTGGGATTTTTTTCCTTCCATTGTCCCAGAGCGGTGAGGTCTGGAATGTTTATTTTCCCATGATGTACTCGAGTATGTACCTGCCAAGGCAACGGCTTTCGTGTGGGAAGGATTGCGACTGACCTTACCCGGTTCATGCGCCCACAGTTCTCTACAAACAACAGAAGAAAAGCCGAGATAGATATGTATTATACTTCAGACATGTCAAGTTAAATTTTTTTTAAAAAAAAGCTGAGTTTCAAAGATATCTATGGAGTTATCATGGCTCGGAACCCGCGAGTTTGGTGTGCTCTGGCCTATGTCTGGTTACTAAACGACCCTCCGAGTGATATCATAATATAGTGTCCTACCTGTATTGTCTGGGTGGAGGTGAGCATCCCAGGAACGGGGAGTGCGCAGTGGCGAATCGCTTATTGTTTGTTCGGCAAGTCCTGGAGGACCAGGGACAATACCGGTACTTGTACTCGTACAGTACTACTGGTACACGGGTGCTGACTGTACCGGGCGTTGTTAGGAAACCATAATTACATGGTACGAGGAGTACTAACTGTGTGCAACTGCACCGCGAGGCTGCTGCTGTGAGATGCCGCAAGGGTTTGGGCATAGTACTTCTAGAGTGATGATCTGGAGAGTTCACTATTGGAATACGACCAAAATTCATGGGCGGATTTCAGACACCACCATCACTACCATGGCCAATATCTTTGAGCCATGGAAACGCAAGGCATCATCTCAGATTGCCGGCGGGAGCTAAAAACTAATGAGTATGGAACCAATATACCGGTATATGCCCTCATGGAACGATCTTCGATCCAACCAACATAACTCAGCAAAACGTCCTTGAACCACTGAACTACGGCAGTATTTCTGCCTCCGCACAGAAAATGCTGCTACCGGTACCCATACGAAAGGAAAAGGCGCAATTTTTCCTCCATCACCACACTCTCCCATTGCCCGGACCCTTCCCGATCTCACGCTCGCTCACTCGACCCCGGTGAGCTAGGAAACTGGGATATTTCGGGTTACCGAAAACCGCACCATGTACCGGTACCGCACTTCTCCATGCGGTAGGCTAAACCCGTGGTTAAACCCCCAAGCGGAACGACCTGATGCGTGCATGGATCCATTCCCTTATTGCACTGCAGGAGCACAACGGGCGTTTGAGGGCTCGATGCTGCGGGAAAATAATTTTGGAGCCCGAAGACGCACCAAACCGCCACTTGAAAGCGCGGTAAACTCTACGGGTACTGTACGAGTACAAGGGAGATGTATAGACCAGGAACGCCACAAATTACTAGTATGTGCCGATCTGGAAATCAAGCTTTTTTATTATTATCGTTTCGTGAGGAAACGAGTAAAAAGGCGTCATCGATAGATCGAATGGGTATACGGTAGTGGATTGAAGAGAAGAAAGGCATTTGATACTACCTTAACCGGTAAGGTCTCTTTTCTTTGTTGCTTTTTCTACTGATCCTCTACGAAGCCTTGTGAGAGCATGGAAATTGCTTGTGTAGCAGGCTGTTTTTCTTCTTCTAATTTTTATTATTTTATTTTCCTATATGGGCTCTCCGAGTTTCATAAAGAGGGAGATTTTCTCCTTTGGTAGTTCAGATCCAATTCCAACTGGGACGGCACAACACGACCACCAATTCGTCAATCTGCAATAATCGATCATGGACACCAGACCCGCCCCTCTGTCCGGGGGCGATAAAAGGACTTTTGAGCACGTTGGACATGAGGTCACTCGACACGCGCTTTTTGACGAGGCGAACAAATACGATCACAACCAGACACTCAAGGAGGCGCTCAGAGATGAGGGTGGAGTTTTGCTCTGGGCAGGTGTGATGGGCGCTGCTGCATTGAGTTGGGGATTTGATGTTCAAGTGGTATGTGTTCCCTTTCTCCCTGTGATTGAAAACATTCCTGACAATGAGAATATAGAACGGAGCAGCAATCTCGGTAGAGGCCTTCAGAAGGGATTTTGGATATATGTACAAGGGGAAGGCAGTTCTTCCGGCTAATTGGCAGACGATATTCAACGTCACCAGTACCGGTCGGTATCCCTCTCTATGCCAACGTAGTTGTTCAGTTCATGTTGACGAGTGAAAAACGTCTAGTTGGTGCGTTCTTCGGGGGCCTGGCTAGCGGCTACATCGCCGACAAAATAGGTCGTAAATGGTGTACTTGGATGGGCTCATGGATTCTCTGCGCGGGGATTGCCCTTGAGATCGCTGCCACGACACGTCCAGTGTTCGCTGTTGCAAAGACAATCCTAGGAGTCGCACTCGGGTTTTACTTGTCTATGGCACCCGCGTATTGCTCTGAGGTGCGATACAATACCCCTCTAGACCTTTTGTGAGTTGCAGCGCTGATAGGCCATAGGTCTCGCCCGTTGTCCTTCGCGGTATCACCACTTGTGGCGTTTCGCTTGCTATCGTTGTCGGCCAATTGCTTTCAAATGCCGTCATCAAAGCCTTTGGGGAACGCCCTGATAGATGGGCCTATAGAGGGCCTTTCTGTGTGCAGTTCTTCCTGCCCGTGGTGCTGATTTTAGTTGTCCCTTTCGCGCCGGAATCCCCATGGCACTTAGTACGTAAGGATAACATTGAAGGAGCTCGCGTTTCTCTTATTCGGCATGTACACCTCTGGGAAAGTAATTTTTGATTTTTAAGTAACTCTGTGCTAACCCCCTCTGAAGCCTCCACGGGAAAGAACGTGACATAGAACCCCGCCTCGCCCAGATCCAGGAAACACTCCGCTTGGAGACCGAACTCTACTCAAACGCCACATGGCTCGACTGCTTCAAGGGCGTTGACGCCCGTCGAACAATGATCACACTGGGGGCATTCTGCTGCCAGCACCTTTCCGGCATCATATTTGTTCTCGGCTACTCAACCTACTTCTTCCAGCTCGCCGGTCTCCCCACCTCCCAGACCTTCTCCCTCGGCGTCGGTGTCACTGCGTGCGGTGTAGCGGGCAACATCTCTAGTTGGTGGCTCGTCAACACCGTCGGTCGCCGAATTGTCACCTTCTACGGAATGGTGGTATTGACCGGCATCCTCGTGCTCATAGGCGTCTTTGACGTCATTCCTACCACGGGGGCGCAGTGGGCGCAGAGTGCCTTCACGGTTATCTACTCGTATGTTTGGTTTCTGACAATTGGAGCGATGGGTTATGTCATTCTTGGAGAGGCATCTTCCCCCAGGCTTAGGAGTAGGACTATTGGTCTTACGACTGTGGTGCAGAGTCTTTGGGGATTGATTATGAATTTCGCTCTTCCATACTTTGTATTTCCCCATATTCTGGAAGTTTCTTGCGGAAGCGCTGATTGGGATGGTGTTTAGGTAAATCCAGATGAAGCGAACCTTCGCGGTAAGGTCGGATTCATCTTTGGCGGCACTAGCCTGCTCGCTACGATTTGGGTCTTCTTCTGCGTACCGGAGTTTAAGGGACTTACCTTCTCGGAGATTGACGAGAGGTTTAAGATGAGAGTTCCTGCTAGAAAGTTTCAGGAGTACAAGGGCCAGCCAGGGTCTGAGGGCTAAAGGGGTTTGTCTTTATTTTGCCTTGTCAGCCTTTGAAGGGATGGGGTTATATGAAGGGACGTAAATAATGTTCAGATAAAGTTATGAGATCAATGCAGTGTTAGCGGATCATACAATATATCAATTTAAATGTTGTGGACAGCGTCTGTAGCGTGTATGGTGGACAGCGTCTATAACGTGTATCATGCGTCTCCCACCCACTGGCAAACAAAAGCTAACAAAGGCTAACAAAAGAGAAGGCGAACTCCTGCTAGCCATACCTTCTAGCCTTCATTATGGCCTTTCCGCTCTCCTTGCAGCCTTCCCGCCTTCCTTGCAGAGGGTGCACTGCTCCAAGACTCCCGCGCATTCCCGCAGCCGAAGTGCTTTCCCGAAAAGCCAAACTTTGCGGGCGGAAGCCAAAGTGCACCGGAAGGCAGAGTGCCCCCGAGACCAAAGTTCGCTCCCAGAGACTGCGGACAAACAAAAACTATCGTGAGAGCATGCTGGGCAGTACCTCGCCATTCCAAACAGTAAACCCGGGCCCATGGGTACTTGGGCACCCATACAAATTCATGACCCCTGTTTTCGGGTACTTCTTGCCTGTTACAAGCACCTCTTGTTTCCTCCTCGGGCCTCCGTTACACCGTAATAAGATGAAGAAAGAAGGCTAACAGGGGAAATGATTTGGGCTGCAAGAAATATGAAAAGGTATGTTAGTCACTGGATTGCCATAAGAGCATTTACCCGCCGGTCGCTTCCGGTGTCCATGCCGCGTGGAACTTCTCCGGAGTTCGTTGTGCAAGAGCTTCTTCAGAAGTGGAGGAAAATCGTGCTGGATAGTTGAGAGTATAGTCACCTATCCTCTTGAGACGCTGTTGGAGCGCTCCAGACAGCCAAAGGGGGTATTTCCCCTAATTACGGAACAGCCAACAGCCATCCAGTCCGGATAATATTGGGGACCACCAGGTTTGGCATAGACTACGGGCCCGACATGTTGAGACATAATTTTACCGTCCTGGTACAAGGACGACAGATGACAGCAATGGACTGCAGGCTCCAGGTTTCCGAGTGATCGAAGGTGATTGCTCTTATTCCGGTAGGTTTCATGGTTCCAACAACACGGATTAAACAGAACTAGTGTATATGTTAACAGTCTCTGCACGTATATTACTAGAATTGGTGATATTTTATGATATCTCAACGATAATGTCTGATCGGTCTGAATTATATATTATTTTCTGGAGTTGGGCTTTCTACCAACACACTATCACAGTCTATACCGAACAGGTTTCAAACTACTAGCTAGTTGGTTTTGAAGGACTCTGGAGTGCAAATGTGAGTATAGAACCGGAGTCTAAGCTTATATTCTCGCTTAGATAATCGTATTCAGCTGGATCACTAGGGTAATGAGAAAAGAAATAATTCCCGACGCATGATGGTTAGGATGAAGGTTTTCGGGAGAATTTGAGTTTCATGATGATGCTGAAGTGGTAGGAGAAACAACTCGGTAATTAAATGATTGCTAAGGGGCAAGCGATTTATCTACTGTACGATTTGGGAGTATACCGAGTGATATGACATTCAATCCAATGTATTCCTAGGCTTGATCTAGTGGAAGGCAATTTGAGATTTGCATCGTAATGGAGGATGCCCGCTAATATCTATAGATGTCTGTGGGTATCTTTAGGTATCCTCTAGGCATTGGCAAAATAGTTACTAACTATATGGCACATACCGAAAGCCTGACTGCACCGCCAGACACCCACAATGCCTGCAGGCTTTGCGAATGCACGGCCTACGAAGCCCAGGTCAGTTTCGCTTTGGCCCCACCGGCCAGAGTATGTATTTATAGACTATCTGCGGCAAACACTGCGTGGGGCTCCGCAGGGATCTATGGGGATCTATGTGTAATACCTTTTCATGGGACCCCATAGGACCCCACAATCCAAAGGGGTTATCAACTACTTGTGGTACCCCATGGTCTTCCCCGTCCGCTTGCCAAAAGCCCCGGGCAAAATCCTCTCCAGAACTGGACGGACTACGAGTCGTAGTCCGCCCTCGTCCTACCCCTGGGACAGACGGACTACATAGTTTTGCTATTGCACGGATGATACGCTAATTGGTAGGGTGCAGAGTTGCGTGACAAAACCGGACGTGAGGGAGTGATCTGCACAGGCGGGACTGTGGACCTCTAAGGCCATGATCTCACAGCTATGACTGTGAGTTAGAATAATATGTAGTCCCCATCATTACTAGAGACCGCATATTTACCAGTATTCTGAGATCCTGCTGGGGATTTTTTAAGACCTGAACACCCCTCTAACTGCCAGCATTCATGATCTATTCCTGTTCTAACAATGCCGGAAATGCAAACTGAGCAAAATAACACGTAAAATCTAGTAGTATACTAAGAATATAAGCTGTGCCCACTGGCAGGCTAGATTACTGGTCATTTTCTCGGAAACCAATTACTGGATCCAGCAAGAACAGAGGAAAGCCAAGGCTGTCACTTGACCTCGTACAGTATTTCCAGAACATGTGGCACGTTGTACATCTTTAATGTACTAGTACTTTAAGCGGAGCAATTATTCCATTAGTCTCTTATCGTTATATTTTTAAGCAACTGTCACCGATAATTTTCCCTTCTACCCCATCCTATTCATAAAGAATTCCGCATTTCTTGCAAGGATTAAAAGTGTGGTACGTTTGGGAAAAATCCCAAAAATCTACCAACGCCGCATATGACAACTTCATTGAAAACCGAGATCAAAAGTTTAGAAATTCACGCCAACGGGAGATCACCACCCCGGATCCCCCCATCGGGAAAGGTATACTCGAGTATCACGAATTACGAACGGTTCGATCTCCAATCCAAAGACCAACCAACCCTCGCGCCCTCTTTTATTTTTCCTTAGATAAAAAAAAAAGAGAAACCGAACGAAAAAAAGACTCTTCCGATTTCTTAATCCTCGCCGCCGCCCGCGCAATCCAATCCAAACCAGATAAACCTGTGAGAAGATCCACGCCGCCAAGCCAACCCCACACTTTTTCTGATAAGATATGATGCCCCTCTAATCTCGCCAAGCCAACCCTAACCTCACCTCGCGGGGCGGTACCGAGCGCGTCCATAAAGATCTGAAAGGAAAGAAAAAAAGCAAAACCCCTTTCCTTTGTCTCCCACGGCTCTCTTCTATGATACCGTATGCTGATCAGCGGAAACAAAAATTCAGATTTTCACTCGCTCGGCGATCCAGAAGACTTGCACCGCGCCGGAGGAAAAAAAAAAGAAAAAGTGCCACAGTTTTTTATCGCTACGGCCGCCGCGTAACATTTTCGACGGGTTTCTCTTCCCGTCCTTTCTTTGGGAGTGGAGGTACGTTATCACACGGTACAGATACAGCGCTGTGGGGAAATTGATCGCGAGGGCTTTGTTTCAACGGTCGAGCACTGTGGTAGTTGCGCCGTTGGGAGGGTCTCGGTTTAAGGCTTACGGCAGTCCTGTGGCCAAAGGGCTGGGTGGGGTTGGATTTGCAGGGGGGATGATGGACACTTTTGAGCGAAAACGAAAGTACCGGCTTGAGGAAAGGGATACAGATGGAGGAGGAGAAGGAGAAGGGGAAGCAATGACCCGTGAGGAGATATCTACGGCACCTACGGCAAGCCCGCGCACGAAAGCTGGTATGTGCCCCTCTACTCCAAACCCAGAAATACCAATCTCTAATCAAACAACAGTCAAAACCTCTCGTTACCGCGCAAATTCTACCACCACTACCTGCGCCGCGCCAATCCAAATCCCCTATACACCCCGCGATCCCCGTGACGGCCTGGCCCCCTACATAATATCGCCATCCGCCCACCCGCCCTCCATAGTCCTGAAGGAAACCCCAACATCCGTATTCATCCGGGATGCGTTTCCAAAAGCGCTCGTGCACGCGCTGCTCCTACCGCGAGATCCCGAAAAGACAATGCTGCATCCGTTTGAGGCATTCAAGGATGAGGGATTCCTGGCGCAGGTTCGGGCTGACGCGGAGGAGTTGAAGGGGCTGGTGGCGAGGGAATTGAGGAGGAAAATTTGCGGACGCGGCACGGTGGCTGGGGGTGGAGGGGTGAATTGGGGGGCAGAGGTTAGGGTTGGGGTTCATGCGGGGCCGAGCATGAATCATTTACATGTGCATGTCATCTCGCGCGAGGGGTTCTCGGACAGGGTGAAGAAAAGGGTGCATTATAGTGCGCTTCTCCCACATCCAGATCCTAGTATGATTTGGTCGGGAGTTGTAAGGCTAATTATTGGAGGGCAGATTCGTTCAATACGGCGTTCTTCGTGCCGCTCGATGAATTGCCGCTGCGCGGGGATGATCCCAGGTGGGAACACCATGAGCGGGCAAGATTGCTGAAGATGGACTATACATGTTGGAGGTGTGGGCGTGGGTTTAAGAATTCGTTCGTTGGAATAAAGCAGCATATTGCGGAGGAATTCGTAGAGTGGAAGAAGGCTTTGCTCGAGGCAGAAGGAGGTGGAGATAGGGGAGCTGCAAGTAGTCAGTTTGACGCGTCCTCTAGCAGTGTTTAACTGAGGCTGTACTACCGTAAACTATTTATACATTAGATCCGCTCAGGTGCGTTACTAATATCTTCCTCCCAGGTAAAACAGCCTCTCAGATCCCATGCTAGAGGCTCTCATCATCGTCGATTTCATCGACCTCCTCTTCGTCCCCCATAAATGGCGTCATTCCGAGATCCCTCACCAAGCTTTCTATGCCTAACTGCCTCCACAAATTAGCTCGAGAATGGAGCATCTTTCTCCTGTACACGACATCCACTGGCTCCTCATCTGCCTCATCGTCCTCATCCTGCTCTGCTTCCTTCTTCTTTCTCTCCTTGATCCTCTTCTTCGCCTCGAATGCTAAGTGAAACCAATTACTCAATGCCCGGACCCGACGCCAGTTGTGTTCTTCATTCTCTCCCACATGTAATAATAAGCTATCTGCCGAGAAATCCAAAACTCGGACTTTCCTCTGCGCGGACTTTTCCCGCTCTTCGTTCTCCTCTGCAACCGCTAACACTTGGTTTATAGACCGCCAATTTTCAAAGTGTAGGTGTTCATCTGTGTACCCCGTGCTCCCATCTACGTGCCCTAGTTTTGTGGTACCCAAACTAGCAAGCGCCCTGTAATAGGATTCCAATTCTTCCCTTGGAACATGGGGGGGCGTTGAGCCGGCTGGAAGCTTGGAGGGAATGGTGGAGAAATCAGGCTCGGCTGCAAATTCATAGGGCTCCCCGTAATTGTGTAAGGCCGCAAGGAATTTTTCCGACGCCTTTTGAATATCTTCTCGCATCTCCTCCAGCGAGACTTTCGAATTGTCGGTAAGTGGACAGGTGAATCTGATAGCATGCTGGGGGGGCGTTTTTCCCGAAGGGTTTGAGAATGCATTATCCGCCGCTTCGAGGATATCCGAAGAGGTCATTTTTGAATCTAGGAGCTTCATAGTATCTCGCCGTCTGAGCCCGCATCGAGTAAGGGAGCGTGCGAGGTGTTTCTTGTTTGTAGGATGTGGGGACCTTTCCTGTAAAGATTTCCAGGTTTTCACTACCATGCTTATATCGCCTATCATGCTGTAGGAAAACCCGATGGCTATCAAGTGATTTCTGGTAAACTCTATTTTCATACGCCGCATGATTTCTAAGACCGCTTCTAACATGTCCCTTCTTCTTATGTCGCCGGCAACATATATGAGTGGCGTCCATTTGGCGGGACGAAACATGAAACCCCGGCTCTGTGCTACCGCCGTCATCCTGTTTATCTGCTGATAGATGAACTTGTACCCATCCTGGTATCGCTTTCCCGGGGTTACAAGAGGGCCGTCGCATACGGATGACATGATGGAGACCAATAATCTCAAAATCAAACTACCAGTGATTTCTCCCTTGGCGCCAACGTATGCCGTTGCGACGGTGAACATAGACCGCACATCCCGGTAGTTAATCCATATGCCATGGAGAATAATTCCGATCAGCCCAGGCGATGGTGGCATACCCACCCGACAGCTGATAGTGGTTATGATGGCTGCCTCATTCGGGGGACGTTCAAATATCAACAGCTCCTCAATGTACTTTCTGGATGTAGATTGCGGGTGCAATCTCAGGTAATGGTCGTATAGCTCGTAGGCCCCCCTCCAATTCCCATTCAACAATCTCGCGGCCAGAACCCCCTGCACAAACATCCGGGATCTCGGGGGGCAACCTGGCTCGTAAAACCGCTTCACAGCTTCTTTATACAGTCCCTCCATGATGCTCAACTTTGCACCGCGGTAGGTAAGCGCCTCAATCATGATGCCAAATGTTTGAACGGTGCACGTCTCCTGGCCCTGATCCACCAGCCAGTTCCAATACCTCATCAAGTCCTCCAATGTCCCCGAAATCCGGAGCACACCAATTAGATACCCGGTCGCCAAATAGTGAGAGGGTAGTAAGCCAGTCTGGATGTCCCGAATGACGATATGGGCTGCATCAATCAGGCCACCGGCGGTGTGCACGGCCTTCTGCAGGATTAACGCTCCAATGACCAATTCTCGGGTGACCAGCTGCACATCCTCTGGCGTTAACAAGCCCTTATCACGCAAATAACAGTATTCCGCTGTTCCTGCCTGAAATGGCAGCGTGTGTGGTGTGTAATTGGTCTGCATACGCCTTCGAAATTCTGCTAGCCGTGTTATGTCGGACGCGGTGTAGTCCGGTTTGATGTTGGGCCAGATGTTTGTAGAAGGACTGTACGGTACCGTGCCTGGAGTACGAGCCTCATCGGGCTTCGGTATATCTTGGAACGGCCGTTGCTTGCTATAGAAACGGTAGCCGTAACACGAGATTGGCTGCAGCCGGAGGACGCCGCGGCGAGAGCGGCAAATTGGTGCGAGACAGTTCATCGGCACGGCTGATATCGTAGGTTCTTGTATGTGAGAACAATGGGCTAGAGGACATCGTGGCCTCGGGCAGGGTCAGTTGTTTGTTTCACGGGTAGATAGATGAATTGAATGACCTTGTCTTCTAGGCGGTTAAAGGCTGAGTAGATCCGTGTGAGAGGATTAACCGATGAACCGTTTTGCAGGTGAGGGACTGCTTGAAAAATTTCGAGCCATCTTAATTTGATCAGTATCACGTGATATGTGGTGGCTTGTATTTAACTTAAGGTTAGGTATCAGGATCAGAGCCGCACAAAAGTCACGTTCTTCGCGGGTTTCAAGTTTTTGACGTGGAGGGGCCCATTGAGAAAGGGTTATAAATTTCTAACCTCGGAATCATTGGAAAATAGGGCCAATCATGTCTCCCCATCGCCTTGATGTTGGAGCAGTGCGAGTTGGCGAAGCGCCATACTGTGTGCAGCGGACCCTACTGACGAATTTGTGGCCAGGAAGATGTGCATCAGGCGGTCTCAGCGTGCATCAGCGGGGTGGGGGGGTAGGAGGTAGAGGCGCCTGTGTGCTGATATGAAAGAAGGTTGCGAAACGACGATGGTCGGGAGTAGGGAGAGGGCCAGCTAAATAGTGGAGGAGGCAACACCCGGGGAAGATAACTTTGACGATGTTGACGAGAGGGTGTTTAGGTGCATGTGCGGTAGCTACATTACCCGGAGATTACGAGCTGATGTAGGTGATGAGGGAGGGAGCTTAATTGGTAGCTAGAGGGAATGCCGGTATCAATAGTAGGGATAAAGGGGTCTCCAAAAATCACAACGTCTGAATACAGAGGCGGCTCGGGATGGAATCCGTGCTAGAGAGTTATATCACCAAATGTATCACTTAGGATCCAGTTTGAGGGAAGGAAGTCTTGACACGAGTTTTAAGAAGTGATGGTAGCCATGGCCAGAGGTTATGTGTAGGAGGCCGATGTACGGCGAGCCCCATACCGCGCTAAATATCACTTCAGGGCGGTTTGGCGGGGGAGCTTATAGGACTGTCTTAATTGTGCCAAGAACCGATCAGCTAGCACGGGCCATTGCGGGTAATGTTTGGTGTATGGATGTGCATGAATACCGTACCCCACCTACTTAAACATAAACTGATGAGGAAGAATGAGCGTGGTGGCAGAGTGATGCTGCTAAGCAACTTATTGTCCACTATGAGCACAATAACGAAGCTAATAGGGATAACTGACCCAGGACTCCCTTTTTTTTTGGAAAAGGAAAGATATGGGTTATACATACGCAGGTACTGTTTGTTCGTGTGATTTCCAACAAAAGTCGTTTGGCGTAGGGGTATCAGTTAGGCAGCCGAAACTTGTAAGACCTGTTCTAGATTTTTACGGGAGGTTATCCAATTTGTTCTCCAATGTATAGCACTGTCCTTGCCAGATTCAAGACCCGCCCCGTTTGGTGCTTCACCACCAGAAAAAACCCTCCATTAGGGGATAGGAGTAAATACATTTTTTCCGGTAGGCCCTTGTTAAGCCTCGATCCCCTATGGCATCCATACCACATGTTCTCCCAGGGGCCCCATGAAATGAACTTTCAGAGTAAACATTTAAACTCCCAAGACCTCTATTGAGATAGTAGGGTCCCACAGAGAAGATGGGGAATCGGATATATAACATACACCCTGTCCTGCACTAGTAGAAGATAGATTGGCACTTGTACTCTCTGATTCCGTGCTGTGGGTGGACTAATATATTGAACGCTCGGATTGACCTAGAAATTATCCTCCTTAATGATCGTGGGGAATAATTTCCATAAACTCAACAGGGCTGTGGGAGTAACTCAGCGCGAGCGCAGTACCCCGTACAACTTTCCACTCTTAGCTGCCCTGTTAACTTTTGTACTAGTACTGTACTCCGGTTTAATACCGGTAGTCTCCGGCCCATACACTAGCCACCCGTCACTTAAAGTGCAAATAGGACTTACGGGCACAGCACACAAAACACCCTTACTCGCAATTTTAAAATAGGTGTCACTCTGTTCAGTTTGGTCAGCCTGATCGAGGCAAGAGAGCGTTGACTCACCCCAGGATCTCGATGAGTAACTTATCTCTGACCTATTTTTTTTCTGAAATCACCCCACACACAAGGCCCCTGCTTGCAGCGCCGATTCCACGGAACCGCTAAGACCGGTATCCGAGTGGGTTTGGCCTATCTTTCCGACAAAAATATACCCTACCCGGGCTCCCGGCGGTAGAGGTACAAATACTCAGCCCCAGGGTTGGGAAACGGCGGTGAGAGTTTCTCGAATCGAATGACTTTGGTCTGTGTAACGCCTTTCGCCCACAAAACTGACAGATCACCTCGGAACAGGGGGCTCGAAAGATGCATTTTTCTTCTTCTTTCTTTTTTCTCCGAGCCCTGGGACGATTGGCCCCCGATCTCCATATTGGGACATTTTACAGACGTGTACGCCATGATTTGATTTTCCTTTCTCACCGTTTTCGGGGCATAATTGACCAATATCCAGTTCGCGTCATTCGTGGTCACTCGACCTAACACTGCTACGTTACACACATCTTTTTATGCGCCCAGGATAGAACTTCAGGTACTAGTACAAGGCTAGGCTGAGAATCACCCGCGCATCGCAGGTGACGGTGAGGGGTGCATATTGCCAGAGAAGGAAGATACCCATTACCCAATCGCAATCGCAGCTTATCAGCATTCGCACAGTGCGCACACACTCCTAACCTAAGGTACTGGCATTCCTTTTCTTTCGCCTTGTTTCCTAGATGGCAGGATGTAGTGCGATCCGGTGGTCTCAAGGGAATATCCTCCGCTCACTCCCGCCGTGTGGGTAGAAGTCGCCACGAGGCAGGTTTCCAACTTTGAAAAGCGGGGGAATAGTGCGCCCCGCGATGGCTGCTTTTTCCTGCTTTCTTTTTCCCTCTTCTCGCGGGGAATTGCTAAGGTACGACGAGCATACGCGTCAATTATGCCGATTTTGAGGCTCGAGGTAAGGTATTATGGGGTATCATCGGGGCAAAGTGCGAAGTGGTGATCAATCGGAAATCGAAAACATCGTCCTCTTCAGTTCAGTGACGTCCGATACGATTATTTAGCAGGGTGGGGTCCGTGCACCCGTCGTCAATGAGGGCTCAGGCTTGTTATGAACAATCTCGCAGCTGGGGTGACACGAGGGATGATTGGTCAGAGCTCTGCAGTGCTGAAATAATATCTCACCACTGGTATTGGACATACGTGTTGAGGCGTGGGCGGCGCGCGGAGTCGACTAGAGTCTTACCGGGGCCCCGAACACGGGTGGACACCAACACTGACGGCCGATTAGGGGAACAGCTGATCGGTATCGGTTTTCCTAAAACATTCTGGAGTGCTATCGAAGTAGGGGACCTGGAGGTTTTAATCCTACATGCCATCCCTGTGTTATCAAGCTAGGGGATACTCATACCGTAATAGGGTATTCAGCCCTAACACAAATGCGACTAAAATCGACTTTTAGATAGCACAATCAAAGGTCTTTGGATACCGTTACCGGAGGCGAGAATAGCTAAATACAATTAGGATCACAACCACCCGTATCCACGAAGGATTGGGGCGGGCGGGGGGGGCTTAAAAGTCCTTTTGTGCGCGCGCCGTGGTCTGAAAGATGGATGCCCCCGGAGAGCGCTACCTTTAGGTATGCTTTTTCCCCGTGCGACCCACGAGTCCGCGAGTGTGCTGCCCGTCTCCCCAGGAAGCCAAATCTAAGCTAGAAGCACTCGAATCACCCTTTCTGCACCATCGTGCGGATTCGATACGGGATGTTAAGCCTGGAACGCTTCTGCGTGGTACCGGATTTGGTAAAGTGCGGGGTTGGTTGGATACAAGTAATACTTGGAACACTCGGGGATGCGCCGGTTTCTCAGCAGGCAATTCTAAACCCAAATACCCCGAATCTTATGTTCGTATTAGGCTGCCTGCCTGATAGATGGTGATCAGAAAAGAACAAACAATGCATTCATTGTTAGTGCAGGCACCAGTATCCCGGTGTCTTGGTGGTGAGGGGAGAAGAGGGAAGTCAGCAAAAGCGAAGGGGGGCATAGGTTTGGTTTACGAGTGTGTATGATACTCAAATAAGCTGTCCAGGAATTGCCAAGCACTGATCTAAAGCACCTAACTTAAGCAAAAGTCTTGGTGAAAACGGTAGATAGGTGAAGACCATGCAACCGAGCAACAAAGAAGACCAATCAACTTTTTGCAACAGCATCAACCATTGCACCCAAGACACCACACAAAGAGCTTAAGGCAGTTGAAAAAGGCATGATTCTTGCCTTTTTTGGAAAATTTCCAAGAAAAATTAGCTGTTAGCCAGATTGTGGACCAATTGTCTAAGGTTTCCTTGCCCAATCATTAAAGCCAGGTTCTATTGACAACCTTCTCCACTCCAGCCAACCATAACTGCTCTCCTAAAGAGCAAAGTGATCACTAGTGCACAGGACAAGGCTCTACAGAGACTGGTATAGGGAGAAGTTGTAGTAGATATTAGCTTCTAATATCTCAGTTTCTACTGTTGACCAAGCTTTAAGACTCAATAAGAGTAGTATAAAGTAGCTATCCAAGAAAAGAATAAAGCTTACTCCTGACTATACTCAAAAGAGGCTAGCCTGAGCTAAGGCATATCAGAATTAGATAGCAGAAGATTCTGAAGAGATAATTTGGAGTGATGAATGCTCAGTTGAAAGAAGTTACAATTTACAGTAAAAATGGATCATCAGATTTGCCTCTGAAAAGTAGTATTCTGATTGGGTAAGAGGGATAGGAAAGGGAAAGAGTATTTCTTTAATGATATGGAGCTATTTCTGAAGCAAAAACTGCAGAACCTTTATATCTTTGGTTGTGAAATCAATAGACTGGTGGGTCAATTTCTAGTTGCTTGAAATTTATCTTATCCCTGTCCTAGTCCATGTTTATAACACCCTTGATGATCCTATCTTTCAGTAAAATAATTGTACTGTGAATACTACTTAGGCAGTACTAGATTGGTTTGATAAAAATAGTATTGAATTGAATAAACACCCCTCCTATTCACCTGATCTCAATCCTATTAAACATGTCTGAGTTGAACAGAAGAAAAGACTTCAGATTCAGTATCCTGATGTTACTTTAATATCTGGTAGTCCTGAGAAGGCCAAGGAGAAGCTAGCTAAGTTATTACCTATAGTATGAGATATAATACCTTCTAAGCTTTTTGAGTAGTTGTAGAGGTTAATGCTAGACTAGGTTTAGGCTGTTATTGCAGTAAAAGACTGGTATATAAGATACAAGAAATTATTTTTTACTCATTTTTTTTATTATGTAAAAGCTAGTCTTAGAAGTTGTTTTCTTTAATCTATTTTCATTTGAAGTTGCTATGGTTGAGTTATTACAATTTCTTTACTCTATGTTTGCGGTTGCTGTCATGGTTGAAATATGCGATCACCAACACCTTTGCCGAGGCGCTTTACTTACCGCCCGAATACGACCCGAGCCCTGCCCCCCTCACTCTGGGACCTCCTTTCTTAAACGGGCTATCGTAGTTTGGGCATGCAGGCTTTTACCTTGAGTTTGATACCAGTGTTATAAAATCTCCTACTATCAGCAATCAGATTATCAGTTGGAATAGAGTTATCCGACACCCACGATTGGTTTAGTTTGACAGGCTACCAGATTGCTAATACGGATTAATGAGATGCAACAGCCCTGGCACTCTCACTCAACTTTTAGCGTACGGGGAGGGCACCAACACTTCCGAAGGGGTTCGTCCCGGGGCACGGGGATCGGGGGCCTGCGGGATGGTGGGATGGGGGATTTAGAAACACCTTACTAGGGGATTGACAAACTAAGATGGGGACATTTGGCTCGTGGGACTGGTGTGGTACTTTCACTCCCAACGTCACGGGATTCTGGCGTTAGAATCCGGAGAGAAAATAGGGCATTTTAGGATCACAAGCAAATCTAGACCAATCAGACTGCAAGGGCTTGGCATTATTCAAGATTGATATTGGAGAGGCTCGGCGCGGTTAGTCCAAGGAAACCTGAATGACGGAGGGTGCCGCTGAATAATGTCTCGATAAATCGAACGCACTTTAAACCTCAAAACAAAAGGAAAAAAATGGTGGATTAAGTAATTTTCGAAGCAGACAGTTCGCTGGTTTGTGCGAACTGCTTAGGAAGCCTGACATCCAGCGGTGGTTGTTGCCTATCATGAGTAGTCTTCATCACAAGTGGTCGAGTGGGCTGCACTACCGGTATGGGGGCTGTGGGCTATCGGTGCACTGCTCGAGTCGTTGGGACTGAACTATAGAAATAGGGTATGATTTAAAAAAATTGATATCACATCCCAAGCAACTACTCGTAAGTGCTGTATGACTTAAAAGGAAGAGAGTACTCTCCCATTTTTCCAGTCTGGGATCTCTTTTTGAATTTACTTCCATTTCTCCCAAACAATCGCATCGCAGCGCGCTAGTTTCTTATCTCCACCTACGCCCGAGTCGCCCCAAAGAGCTTTACAGGAGCTACTAGACGTGTTCATATCGCTGTGCTTTTGGAAGCTTCTCCCAGGATCACTGCTGAGCCAGCTCTCTCAAATCCTCATCGGAATCCAGACGCTCGAGGAGCTCTTCCCCTCCGGACCGGCAAAAGGACAACAACATCAGTATCCGTGCCGGAGGACCCTGGGATCTTGAGAGTTTAGGCCAGCCACAGAGGAGCCAGAAGGATTTCCAGAAGGGTCTCCGGAGCTCCGGAAGAGGACTATATCTGAACAACCACTAATTAATCTTTGAAGGTGCATACCGAACCCGGACTCCTGGAAGCCCATTGGGTGGCGGAGCAAATCTTTGTTAAAAGGAAAAGGAAAAAAAGAAAGAAAAAATCTGGTATTTTCGTGGCGTCTCCTCTGAGCTGAGAGGCGCCTTGAGGAAATCAGATAGTCTTTTGCTCTGGAAAGCCCTGGGCCCATTTTTCGCCGGATTATCCCCCCCAAGGAGCAGGAAGCCAATCCGGAAGGCCAATTTTTGGAAGAGCTTTAACATTGTTCTGGCCAGGTTATCTGACTGGCTATCGAGCGATTTTCTTGGGGATTCTTATTTATTGCTTCGTGTTTCGTGTTTTACTTTTATTTTCATTATTATTGTTTTTACCGTCTCCTTTTTTATTGACCTGGTTTTCGCTTTTATTTATTTTCTACACTTTTTATCACCCCCCCTTCCTACCCCCGGAAGAGATGTACGGTCAGGGAGGAGGAAGCTATGGTCCGGAGGTGGGTTATTATTACCATGAAAAATAGCCGCGCTTTTAGTAGGATCTGAGCTCACAATATCATAGTTCACCTTCCCCTACTTGGTGGCTTGCGCACCTGCATGGGACACTCACCCCTTGGAAAACTGTTCGCCCCCCCCCTAGATGCATCGCACAACATACCCTCATTAGAATCTCGCTAACGTTCTTATAGGGAGTCCGGAGCCATGTGCCCCCACACCCCAGTACCAACCCCCACTCCGATGCGGGGACCAGACTATCGTCCACCCATTCATGGGAATTTATGGCTTGCCCTTCGATCTGGATCTTGTCCAAGATGTGAGTGAGGACTCACGGCCCGGCTCCTGGTCAACACAGGGTGACTCAACAGCGCCATTGCCTTGGGATAGTAGTTCCGGATCCTCCGGATCACTGGAGGTTCTACCAATACGGCCCGAGCCTATGGCTATCGGAGGGGCGGGGATTGGAGACACCCCGGGGGCAAGCCCCCACCTAACAGCTTCCACCCCAGGGCTGGGCGATAACATGTCCAGCTGCGCCGCTTCTCCAGTCGTACCGAATACACCGACCACCGGACCACTGCCACAGGCAATGGTTCCCAAACAAAGGTACGAAGCTGCATCCCCTACCCGGTGTTGTAGAAAGTGGGAGGGGAAGGGTGATGGAGAAAAGGAGATAGTTGAGAAGGGAGAACCCTGATAGGTTTAGAGTAACTCAATATAACTAAAACGGATTTATTGGGGGGAACAGCATCACAGCCAGACAAAGACGGGTCAGGAAGTCACAAAAAGCCCCAAAGCATACTTCATTATACCGTTGCCTCCACCAAGGGTGTGGGGGTAAGACTTTCACCTCTCGCTCCGCCATGGTGCGCCACGAAAATGAGAATCACCTCGCCGGCGAGGTAACGCTTTATTTTTGTTCCGATAAGCAATGCCCCCGGTCCCGAAAGGGTTTTCCTAGGCGGCACAACTTAATGGTACATATGAACGGCAGAAAACATAGGAAGAACGGTTTTGGCTGGGAGCGTTACCTGGACCGGCAACAAAAACGGGGCATCGACTGACCCCCAACCAGAATCCAGGCACAGGAATTGAGGGGAGTGAGAAGGATGTTGGTGACTGTGCGCTGTCAAGGAATATGCTCAAATTGGTGCGGGAAATGAGAAATTCTACGCATTGGGGGTGATTTCTCGCTGGAACTGGGGATGCCTATGGGTTCAACTGGGATTAGATAGTGATGATAGATATGCGGGAGGTTGGCGTTTCTCTGGGTTTTTCCTTTTTTGTTTGGTTCCCTTTAGGTTTCCTTTCTCCGCTTCTTAACTCACTTTCTCTTAGTCTGGTGATTTTACCGGTGCGCAGCGTCTCCTTGAACCCGACGAGCTCTCATGCAGTTCCATCTTTAGAGTAGCTTTCGCCATTTGGAGGGTCACGCAGGTGCTTTTTCCAATCCCATACTTCGCTTCGTGTCGCTATTTGTTCTTGGAATTAGGATCTTTTTTCTATGGGATTTTTTGGGATTTTATTTCTTAACGAAACATGTCAGTTCTTGCGGGTCTAGTCATGATTTATCGTTTGGTACTTGCTTTTAGCTACAAATTCACTTTCACTTAGTCGCTCTTTAATCTGTGGCCGGAGTAGTCACGACCCTTGTTCCTGTTTCCTGATTTCCCTCACCGAATAAAAAAAGAAGAATAAATATATAATATTATGTTATATATAATTCTAAGCTAAGAATGGGTTTTGTCCACGCCGTAGGATTTTTCCTGCATGCGATATTCTTGTACCTTAAACCAATGAAACGATGATTAAAGAAAAATTCTAAGCTATGACATTAGATATCACTCGACTAGTATAGTAGTACCTGTACTTGCGCATTCCAAAAGTATCCGGATATCTTGGCAGAGGCCATGGTACAAGGATTGTACTAACCCGCACAAATATATTGCCAAACTACAAATCTCTAAGGTTCCTAAAGATTTCATTGGATGTGGTTTACTCTGTATTCTTCAATAGAGAACAGGCAGGAGGTTTAGAAAATTAAAAGATACTTTGAACGTATTAACCTCTGTGCAAGCTTTAGAGGTTTAAAGCGAAGTGTAGGACCATACGGCAGCAGATTACGGGCTCTAGTTTAAGGGTTCTCACAACAAACGGCGCCAAGATATCGTCAAGATATCCGGATACTTTTGGAATGCGCAAGTAAAGTCGTTTCGGGTGCTATGTCGCGTCGGTAGCTGTGTCGGGAACCTAGGTACCTTCGTGGGGTGGAAATGAGCACAAGGCTGTCTCGACGTCTACGAATATAGTACCGGAAAGTTATGCCCAGACTCAGGTGTGCTCAATCCGCAATACCCAGGGTCTCAGAGTAGCACTCGACACAACTTTACTTTCATACGGGTACTTGTGCCACTAATTGACATTCCACCATCCTGTCATGCGATTGGAGAAGGGAACACAGAGAAGATGAGCATTGCCACAACTTTTTTCCTTCTCTACTTTCTCTTCCTTTTCTCTCCACCCGAGCAGCCTCTTTTGCAGGCAAACTATGGAATTAAATATTTGTCTTAGAAATAGATTGCATTTCATACAATTGAGAATCCTTCCTTTCTCCGACAGTATTGTTATCAGTGAAGTTCTTCTAATATCTGTTCTTTGGGTAATTCCGAGTCCAGGGCTCCCGGGTATGTGCCAACACCCACTGAAGAATGCTGAAGATTGGAAGAAGCCCGAGGAGGAATTCTTGGCAAATATCTGTGAGCGCACTGTGATGCAGCAGCGGCCGGAAACGGTACATTACTCGGACGGATGGTATTCAAGGGAAGGGAGAGGATCCGATGGGATATTGGGAGGGCGGAAGAGAAGGGGTGGATGGAAGAGACTAGTGAGCTTACCCTTGCCAACGGAACGCGGTTTCTGAGATGGATATTCCGCCAGCGACGACGGGGATTGCTTGGACTCCTCAATCTAACGTAACGATATTAGGTGGCTCCACGCTCTAGATCGACTCTATACTGATCTGTGGATAAGACTACCTAGTTCTAGTCATGCCACATCATTCCGATTCATTCGGTCCTTTTTAACATTGTCAAAAACAGTATCCTTAGTTGCGGCAAGTGCCAAACTTCCCTACATTCCGTTGAATTTTTGCTTTTACTTTCTTTCTTTCTTTCTTTAAGTAGGCCCCATTAGACAATTTTACCAATATCTAGGTATTGAAAATCTTTCGGTTTAACTCTCCTTCCCCACAATTCAGACATGAATTTAGGGTTACTCGAGCTGTCTGTCTGGCCCGAGGGTGGAACACGGTTATAGAAAACTCGATAAATTCAAAGTGAAAAGGTCCTCCGGTTCTGCCCGCAGAAGTCACCTGCGGACTTAGTTTTTCATCAAACGTTGGAATCGAGCTCTAAGTTATTCTTTTGTTATTGAATACATGGGGAAAGAAATACAAAAAGAGTTCTTTTTGACGGCCTACCGAAGGGGGGGTGGGGGAGGCAGTGCCCCACTCCGTGCCTCAAAATACTTTCCTTACAACTGTTTACAACACTTCCCAGTGTCACAAAAGATCACTCGTACGGAGCCAAGCGCACCGCCAGTCCCTTTCTACGTTGTGTGAACCGAAGTCGGGGGAAAACCCCTCAAGTTTTCCCCAACCAAGAACTTTGCGTATCATATCATATTGTTTGGCTGTGTTTTTTTGTTCTTTGAGATCGGTCGGTCCTCCGGTTGCGTAAGATCCTTCACACATTATCTCCCTAGCTGGTATGATATAGCGATCTGCCTAGCCGGCGGAAAGGCAGTTTACTCTCAGCAGCTCATAGGAACACACCCTATTCCACGTAGGAAATTCAACAGAGAAGGAGGAAGGGATTCTGTCGTTATAGCTCGTACGCTCACAATGATGCGAAACCCCTTTTAAACGATTATCCCCCCTCTCTCGATAAACTTCGAGCGATAGGTTGCAT